TAGACGTAAATCTCAGAATTACTGACTTTCAGAAAAACCCAACGGTGTTTTACTATACACGCATATACGTACACAAAAATTTCAAGATGCTGGTGCAAAATGCTGGTATTTCTTTTTTTCAGTGTTTACTTTCCAGAGTCAATCCTGTGACTCTTGAAATGTTGTCTTTTGAGGGATAAAAGTTACCTGAACCCACCTTCAAGTGGTTACATTGAGGAAAACACTACATTGTCAGAGATCTTAAAAAATAATCATCATCTAGTGTTTTTATAATGGGAACCACCAAATTATCAGTAATTCAGCGGAAAAAATCTTGAAGGGATAAATTAACCATTTTTTCACAGTTCTCTAAGTGTTTTTTTTATAAACTTCAAGTGACCAACAAGCTAAACAGGACGGTCACAGCTACTGACCAAAGGGAAACTCATTTAGTGTGGTGCAACATTCTGGCCACAGTACCACTTCACAATAAAGTGGAGAGAAAGCCAGAAAGCCCTGAGCCCAGATCCCAATCTAGCCTAATTTATCAGTCAGGCTCTCTGCAGGCCTCAGCCTGCTCACTTGTGAAATTAACGAAGTTATTCATTCAATGTTGGTTCGATGCCTAGGACTTGCCAAGCCCTGTGTTAGGCAATGGAAGTTTGTTGTTCTGTTTTAAGTCAATAAAACCACGGTCCTTGCCTAATCCTGAAAAGCTCCTAATCTTTGGAAGAGATTTCAATAAACACGGCATGGTAACTGCTATAAACAAACAGCTAGCCTGGGAAAATCAGAAAAGGCTGCCTCCAGAGGGAAAGACAGTTGAGCTGAGGCGTGAAGAATGAATGTGAGTTTCTCAGTCAGAGATGGGGGCTAAGGGTACTCCTTGAAGAAAGAGCAGACTGTGCGAAGACAGGAAAGAGTAAAAAGAGAGAGGTTTAATGTAAATGCTGACTAGGCTGGGCATCAGAGCAAACTGGTGGGAGATAAACCTAGAGCCTCACGTGCCACACTAAGGAATCCACGCTTTCACCTTTAAGCAACAGTAAGCCATTTAACATTATCTCTGAGGTTCCTTCCAATACTGGAAACTGGCTGTAGATACAACCAGATGAACCCAATTTCTCCACCTTTCCATTTAAAGTTGTTAGAGTCTTAAAACTGTCCTAGTTTTGATGCTGCCATTATAAATCTTGGAAGACAGAGCTCTCTTAACAGATACTTTTTAGGACTAGCAGATTAATCTTGTTACAGTTAGAGTAGTAAAGCATTCTAAAAGCAAGATACATGACAGGAGATTAACTACTGATCTTTACCAAAGATATACTCAATGTAAACCTACCCCCACTGCCATCCAGTCGATTCCGACTCATAGCAGCCCTACAGAACAGAGTAGAACTGCCCTACAGGGTTTCCAAGGCTGTAATCTTTACTGAAATCTACTGCCACGTCTTTCTCCCGTGGAGTGACTGGTGGGTTTGAACCACCAACCTTTTGGTTAGCAGCCAAGTGCTTAACCATTGTGCCGTGTGAAAATTATAAACAGGTATTCTATTTTATATGCCCTCCAAAATGCTTTTTCATTCTTGGTTCAAATAAAGCCTTGCTCTGAATATCCAGTAACTACAGAAGTACCTGAAGAGAACACGAAGTCCCACTCACCTGTGCTCTGCAGGGACAGGAGGTGGCCACACAGCAGGGTCTCTAAATGGCTCATCTTGATAGGACACAGGGAAATCTGGCGGCTTGTCAACTTTAAAGCTTTCTAAAGTGCTGACAATGCTTTTAACTTGCTCGTATTCTTCCAATAACTCCTGCCGAACCTTAAAAGACACAGACTTTATATTAGAAACAGTTTAAAATTTATATAAATTGTAAATAATAAACTGCTATCTAGAGCAAAAGTTGTCTTACTATCGTTCAAAGTGTACAAAATGCATCATTCAAATAGTCAAAAGACAGTTGGACTATTTAAAGTAATAGAGATAGGAATGTGGGAATTGGCTGGAAAAGAGACATAATTTTATACCTTTTCAGAGGGAAAGTAGTTATGTATCTTTTCATAATCAAACTTTCTACCAAAGAATGTGGTGACTATTAACACAATTTAAAACAAGCAACTAAGTCAGTAACAGGATAACAAATTCCCAGAAATTTACATTATCTCAAGCCCTTTTAACATATTTGTGAATAGATTCCAGAAAACCGTCAGCCAAAATTTTCACCAGCATTTCCTATCACCGAATGTTAAATGCCTGCATGGGCTTCTGAAAAGCTCAAGCAGTACAGCACCGAGGATTACACACTTCCAACTTGTATTTAAATTCTCCTGTACCTAATACCTGGTTTCTTTCAAGTCCTGGGTAAAGTTTATTTTGAGCTTAAAAGCAAGATTCTTCCTATGTTTAGAAAATAAATGTAACTGAATACCTACTATGTGCAAGTTCTTATGTTTTCAGACTCTAGGCCCAGACTAACTTTCAAAGGCAAACCATTAACAGATTGAAAATTACATTTAGAAACTCATTTTAACAATACTTTTTTTAAAAAAAACAGAAAGCACATTTCACTATAAAGCAAAGCATAAGAAGCTTCTCTTTATCCTTAGTAATACCATAGAAATGAACATATAAACGAGTTGCAGGAACAAAAAAAAAAAATCCATGTAAAATTTAACTGTTAATATATACAATTATATAATACACTATACGAGGAGAAATGAAACTTTAGAACCTAATGAAAAGAAACACCGAGGAAATATCTGAAGAGAGTGCTCTCTAATCCGTACAATTAGGAATATGTCAAAAATATTTCTATAATTAACAAACATCCCTTCCTGTGACTAGTATGAAGGATAGGAGAAAACTAAAACTTCTGCCTTGAGTTAGAGCAAGGATGTTGCTCTCAGTCAACATAATTCGGTGACACATAAGTTGGAAAATAAGCCATATTTACCCTCAAAACTTAGTAACACAGCAGCTTCGGACTCGTGGAAAAATCAGAAGACAAGCTTGAAAGACATTAGCACATAAAATGAAAACTTCAAAGAAATGCTTGATTTTGTACTTTTAAAAGATTTTAAGAACAAATGAGGAAATTATAAGTCAACTTTTTATTAAGGTTGCTATTGTGTAATCAAATTGTATGGTCAGGAGACACAGCAAATGTATCAGTGCTTTTTATTAAACCACTGACTCATTTCTATTTGTAAGGAGTCTTTCAAAAGATGAGGAAAATTTCTTACAGGAAAAGTTTTTTGAAATGGGTCAAAACTACATATAAAAATGAAAGGAGAAAAAGGATGAATAGAAATAACTGATTATGGAAATAAAAAGAATTAAAAATAGACTCAATTAGAATTGAGTATCTTCAAAATATGCCTTATGAAATACATTATCAAAACTATCAAACATATTAACTAAGTGAATCATCAGAAAATTATTCAGAGTACCTATTACATATAGTTCAGAATTCAGATAAATAAGAAGTATTTACAAAATCTCAAACTAATTTCCCGATTCCAGCCTCTCAAGTCTAAGACTGCTGCCCTCGGGCACTGACGACATCAAGGGGCTCTTACCTGTTGCCATTTGCCTTTGACAGCAGGGTCTCTGACTGACTGGCAATGTCTCTGAATCTGCTGTATCACCCCCTGGTAATAGACCATGGATGAGTCATAATTCCCAAGAAGTGCATATTCTCTTCCTTTCTTTGCATTGTCACAAATCTCGGCCAAATTCATCTTCTTTCAAAGACCTACAAGTAAAATATAATGACTTTTTTTTTAAGTTTTCAGCACTGACTTTAAAATATTTTATTATTCTTTAAAATACCTGCTTAAAAACACCTTGGAAGTCAAAATGGTTATCTTACATCATTCAAGGCTATCTGAATGTATCTTATAATACTGAACAAGGTCTCCAACGCTGAAGACACAAAGGAGATCACAAAAGAACACCCAAGAAGATAACAGGGGGAAAAGTTCCACAGCTCTGAACTATTGGTTTGTGTTACAGGTACATGAATTGGACACTAGTTTTCT